GCACAACTTTACATCGTCAATGCCTTTAGAAGGCACAGCAGAAATTTGAAGTCGATCCGACTAAATCCCTAGGAGGAGGTCGTTAAAGTACGGAGTGTGTAAATCGTTCCAAAATGGCCGCCAAATTCAAAATGACGGACTTCCTGTCGAGTTTAGGGTATGGGTTCTTGAGGCTTTTTTGTGCGGCTTGATATGATACACGTCCCCACCAAATTTCGTGCATGTAGGTTGAACGTGGACGAGGGGCTAATTTTTTCCAATTTTCTAGGTGGCGCTAGCGAGCCATTTTGCCACGCCTATCCGCGAAACCCATAAAAATGCAAAATTTTTCACCAGACCTGACATGTTTGCCAAATTTGGTGAGTTCTTACTTTGCAGAAAAAAAAATAAAAATAACCCTAACAGTGTTATTATGCCAGCTTGGCATATATATGTGCTATATATGCCACCTTGATACAGTAATCTACAGTAATATAGATGAGGTTCGTCAAAACAAAGTGTACATAGATGGGTTGCAACAAATCGCGGTCAAAAAGTGTCATGAATTTATAATATGTAAAAAACATAACATACAAATTTAAATAAAAAAAGTTATAAAACAAAATCAATATTTTTACAATAATATTTATGATTTTCTGTTTAATACATTTCTAACACAGAAAATCTGTGTAAATTAAATGTAATGGGGTCATTTTTTGCAATGGGGTCTTTAAAAATATCACTTAAATTCTGTATTAGCAAGATTAGCCGAATGTAATCATAATATACTACTGTACCTTTTTTATTTACAGTATAATAAGGCCATAGTGAGTTTTACAACAGTGTGAAAACTTCATTGGTATCTTTACTAATGAGGAGTGGAATGATTATTATTTCTGGGCCAAGAGCATTTTTTTCTCCTCTCAATGTCTAACTTTGTCTTTTGACAACTTTTTACTATTGTTGCGGCACTTAATGGGGTCCTGTTTTGGAGACGCTTCAGTCACTCGAAGTCTTCGTGGTGTGAACTTGAGTTAGTTCTGAGTTTGTTAATTAGACACGGATCAGCAATCCTAAACTTGCATTAGGCTTGTGTGGTCTTTAATCCCTAATGGTTGCAGTTGACTTGTTTTTGTATTGGAACGCCGCACCATTGTTCTTTAACCAGCTTATACAGACATAACCAATCTGACTAATTTCTTCTCTCTCCAAAACGGACAAATCCCTGCTGGAGGCAGCGTTTTTCTAATACCGTTTTCATTGATGTGTGTGGTTGCGTAAGTGCTGTGAGTGTGTGTCTGTTCCCTATTGCATAAATGTCATTCCCAGAACAATCTGGCAGACCTCTATTCTGGGATGGTCAAAGCCGGTCGACATGTCACATCCACTGTGGTCAGCATTTGTTGTGGCTGCTTGTCTGTCACACTCATTAGTGTCAGCATCTCTCTCTGTCTCTTGGCAGAACCAATTAACCGTGCCTGATAAACAAGTTCTACGTCTGTATCGGCACAGCCTTTGTGTTTCCGTTGTATAAGTGGAGATCCCATCGCCGGCCTGTAGCCTCACGAGGGACGTGTTACGTGTCGCGCTTGTGTCCCTAAGAAAGTGCGTTTGTTTGTGCAGGAGAGTGCAAGGGGGTGATTACATAAAACATTACATCAAACATTCCCCCTGGTCTTCTTATGCTGGGATTGGTGACAATATTCAGTGAGGATGCAGTAGTAGAGATAAATATTGAGTGGTATAATAATGTTTGACTGTCTTCTCACTCACAGGGAACCACCTGCTCCTGGGTAAGACTAGTACCAGCGTTGCCCTCGCCTATGAAATCATTCCCCGGCGGACGTTGTTTTGCTGAGCTTGTTGTTGTTTTAGTTGCTTGGAGGCAGTGCTGCATGCCGGATTACGTCATAGTGAGGAGGAATGAATCGAGCAGACGTATCCCCGCATAACACATTTCTGCGGTTAGAGCGGCTCTTCCTCCTTTCTGTGTATGTCTGGAAACGTTGTATAAATCAGCTTTTGCTCATTGGACTTCACCAGGTGTCATCATTAGCCAAAGATGTGGAAAAGATGGAGTGACCTAGTGAAAGATGAGATACGGTGAGAGGGAAAAGAGACAGATGAAGAAAGACTGCCTGCAGGTGATTCAGGTCAGCGCTCTCATAGAGGAGCCGCTGCCACGGTTACCATCTCTATGGAAACTAGGAGGTGTTCCATTGTGTTAGAACCATAGATATAAACATAGATGCCTCATTAGCGGCTATACGTAAGCCTTTCACCATATTGAACGCTTGCGTCTGCAACCATAGTTAATATCTATATCTGTAATACACTTCAGCTGATTATTTAGCTAAACTAACAATATAAACATTTTTCAACAGCAGCAGCGCCATCTTTGATTTTTATGGAGAATGAAAGGATGGACTTGATGCATCTCATCAGCGGGTTATACTGTTATTTATTGTGTTTTTGGATTGTTTTATCCAAGGTTGGATTATTTCCAAGAAACTTCAGTAAATGTAAAACTCCAGAGTCCAGACAGCATAAGTTGTGGAAAAATCATAAGTGATTAGAGCCAGACCGATATTAGGCATTTTCCAAACTATCGGTATCGGCAGTTATAATGGCCAATAAATGAATATTTCAAAGATAAAATAAAAACGGACGAAACACGCTTGAACCATGTCATGAGTGTTGGAGTTGTATAGTTTGTCCACCAGAGGGCACTCTACACCGTCCCTGTTGGCAACACTCGTTGAGTTGGTCACAATGAATAACAATTAAAAGAACATCCCCATCAGTTCTCTTAACTCAAATAAGCAGGACAAAATGTGTGACTATCATGTCCAGTTTCAAATAAATAAGTATATAAATAAAATATCGGCTGATGTATCGGATTTTAAAACCCAAAAATATTTGTATCGGTATCGGCCTTCAAAATCCTTTATCGATCGGGCTCCATAAGTGATCTGAGCTTTATTCAGCTTATATATTCAAAACACAGCTTAACAAGTCTATCCCTCTCCCTCAAGGTCTGCTCTGTCTGAAAGAAGGTGTCAGCTAACTCGACATTAAAGAGCTACCTTATACTGTAGTATAAAAACCTGTTATAATACAAATAGAAACACAAACCAACACATTCCCACCCATGAAAGTTTATCCCATTTCTTTGAATTTAAAGAAGATGGAGGGTGTGTCCAGTTGCCCTTCATTGCAGTACACAAGATCCAGGGGGCGGAGTCGGATCCAGATCTAAGGGGTGGAACTGGGTTGGTTTAGGGGTGGGGTTAGGGATCAGGGGGTGGAGCTGGGTAGGTGGGAGGAGTTGGATCTGGATCCGACTCCTCCTCGTGGATTTCATGTTCTGCAGTGAGGACCATCTTGTTATGTCTGTTGCGGTCCAATGGGGATCTATGTGTACAAATCATTGACTATCCTGATGTTTTTAGCTAGCGATTGTCAACACACTGAATGAGTCCATATGGGAGAATGACACACTCATTTTATGTTTTGATTGTAAACATTGTTTCTTCATAACCAGTGGCAGACAGATGAGTCAGCTTGAAACAACAACCCATTTTTACTTCATTATGTGATGCATTTTAGAGTGAAAGCATATTCATGGAGGAAAAAATGCTGGGTTGGACTACATTTTGTCCATTGAGTGTTGTATAGTGAGGACGATGTCGTCGGAAAAGTGGGAACAGGTTGAGCATTTTTTTATTAGAAAATAAGACTTTTTTGTGTCATTTTAAACTACAAAAATGTTCAGATTTTTTTAAAATTTAAATATAGGATTCATCTCTTTACAATCGGAGGATACGAATTACTAATTTGAGGAAACTGGTCATCTCAGCACTGTACACTATTTCTGTTTTCTGACATATAAATCAGCACAAGTACAGTAAAAGCGAGTGAATTGGCAAAAATGTGTTGAGAAATATTGCGATAAGTAGATATCCTCTGGTATTTCCTTCCTGTGTGGCGGTGGCTTCATAAAATAGCCACATACTAATCCGAGCCTAAATTAGATTTGCATGTGAATGTCGGCGGGATCAACCAACCATTGTTGTGCATGAATGTGCGTCTGTTTGTTGACTGATACTCTTTCCTTTGAGGAGACTTAAGATTGTGTGTGTGTTTGAGTTGTTTGAGTGCGCAGGCTCTTGCTCCTGGCTCTAATCCGATTCTATAAAGTGCTTAGGAGGATCTTTGTTTCCATCTGCTGGTTTTCACTCTGTTACATCACTGCAGCTGGACAATGTGTGTGTGTGTATAGAGGGAGGAGCTTAATATTGGATCTTCTGATGACACTTGCATAGTAACACACGTGCATTGGACATGCACTGCCCCGAGCCATGTCCGTCTCTCTCTCTCTCTCTCAGCTTGATGCATCCTACTCTTTTGTTTTTAAATGGGCGACACTCTGGGATGTGAATGAATATGATAATGGACTTTTTGCAAATTAAATCGCTCGAGTGCTTGCACAAACAGCATAATTGTGCTGATTGAATCACCGGTGGTTTGCATTCGCAAGAATAAAGTGGAGGATTATATAAAAGATTAAATAATTTCTCAACCGCCCATCTTCATTATTATTATTATTATTATTATTATTATTTTTTATTTATTTAATGTTAAGTTCTCGTACGAGAGGTTTTCTCGTATTGCGTAAGTTGCTTTTCTCGAGATCTGAAGCCAAAAAAATTATCCTTAATTTTGTATTTATTGTCAACGCAGTGTGGCGGACAGCAGACTGTATAAGCGTGCTCATTGGCTGCCCCTAACCCCGGCGACGCCCTCACTTTTTAATTCTGTGAAAATAAGCAGATCTTTTTCCAAAGTTCTGCGTGCACAGATTTCATTTAGGCCTGCGAATAGCATTATAGCTATTTAGGTATCGTTTTAGCTAGCTAACATTCAGCTGGTGTGAAAGTCAGAAATACATCACACTATGATGATGAGGAAGTGTGGTGCGGATTCTGACCGATGCTCTATTGTTTGTGTTTGTTTTTCAGATCAACTTGAGGCTCATCTTGGTGAGTGGAAAAACAAAAGAGTTCCTGTTCTCACCAAACGACTCCGCGGCCGACATCGCCAAGCACGTGTACGACAACTGGCCAATGGGTGTGTGATGATCACATCTTAAAAACACTCGCATATTGTTTTGAACGCATCCCCCAGTAGAAACTGTTGGCTCTCGTGAAGGATTTTCAGGCTTTTGTTTCCTGCCGTTCCTCTTTACAACCCTTTTCTGTTTTCATATAATCTGTGCCGCAGACAAATCCGAGTCTGACCGAGTGGTAATCCCATGCAGAGCTAGATTCCACTCACTGTACACTGACCTAAAGTCAATGACATTATTCAGGGGGAAAAACAGAGCGTCAGAGTTTGTGTGTTTATACATCTGTCTGGCCTCCGCCTTTGCCTGAGGACTATGTGGTTTGCATTCAAATATTCCACAGATACCGTTCTAGTACGATTATACACACACACACATACTGCTACCTCTGAATTGTAGAGAAGAGCAGATGGTATACAGACTCTTTCATCTGTTTCTACACTGTCTTGGCAACCCATCTGAAACTGCAAGTGCTTTCAGGGATCTGGCCACAAGCTCAAGTTTAGCTTTTTCCACCTGACTAACCTGTTAAAACACACTGTTGCAGTACCAAGGTGCAGTGATGGTAAAATACAGTGGTATTTTGATATATAAACTACCGTTATAAAGTAAGGTAAGATTCAGATACTTTTATTAGTCCCCAAGGGGCAATGAAGTCCCACTGTAGTCAATAGTTTTATCCCCCAAATTGCCAAAATGACATTTTTTTTCTTTGAAAAAAATGATTCAATGCCGCAAAATAGCTAAAATGTAACTCTACACCTGTGCCTCCTTTAGTATATGCCGTTCTATGAATATGCAAAATAGCCCCGCCTCCACCCACCCACACCAGCTCAGAGATCCACACGTTGACCTGATTGGTTACGATGTAGTTTGTGACGTCAGACTGTCTTTGGTTCACTGCACTTTTAAAGAAAAAAGATTTGGCAATGGTGGTGACTAGGGCTGGGTATTGAGACAAATTTCACAATTCGATTCGATTTCGATTCACAAGCTTGCAATTCGATTCGATTTCGATTACGATTCGATTCAATATCGATTATTTTGGATATCAGTTACAATAAATGGCAATTTTTCTCAAGGGAATCAAATCTCTTAAATGCTGTAAACTATGGTCTATATATATAGTCTAGTTGTAGCCTATAGGCTTCATTAGCCTAATATGAAGGTAATAATGAACTGTTTTGTAGCTATACAAACACTTAAATTACACTTTTATTTATTTTTATAATAAGAAGATTATATGAAATATAAACATTTAAATGGTGGCTGTCATAAAAACTTGCCAGATTTATTCAAATATGCATTAAATATTGAAGAACACTAGCGAGTGTGGACTAACGAGTTTATGTGGAGTTTTCTGAGGTAAATATGACGATACATGACATTGATTACAAGCTGTTTACAGTAATTGACGTCTTTCCACGGTTGAAACGCAGATTGAGCGAATCAATGTGACATGATACGGATTTCGATAAGTTGTACTCTATCTTTAACACACTTTCAGATGCTCATTCATGTTTATTTCGCGCTGTGACTGGTATTATTAGCGCCAAAACGGCAAAACGCAATTTATGTTTTTGAATTTCTAAAGAAAATGGACGTAATTTGAAAATTGAGACTTAAATTGAAAATTGAGATAGTAACAAAGGACAAAGATTATTGCGATTTGTTGGATGCGCGCAGCCGCGATACAATGTCTCATTCATACAAATGAAACAGGATGACTAATCGATTCTTGAGATTTAAGAATCGATATCGGTTTGTAAAAATGAGAATCGATTAATATCGAGAAATCGATATTTATTACCCAGCCCTAGTGGTGACTTAACCAATAAACCAATAAAACCTTACCAATAAATACCAATATGTGGATATCTGCTCTCTAAGTCTGGTCAAGCTAGCTAACGTGCTTGTTTTGGCGTTTTTCGGAGCTAACTGACCAGCTAAACCATCTTAAGCCAGTAAGACAACTTATTCTACATTTTTAGCAGGAATGATACATTTTTATTTACCAATCAAGGGTTTTCAAAAGTTTATGTAATTTTAATTTAATTCTAGCTTTCAATAGCTCTTATGAAAGTCATCAGCCCTTAATTCTAAAGAATACCGATGAAAAAAAGAAAAGGAATACTGTGAAAAGAAAGGCTTTCTTTGTTGTACAGTTCGTAAACTCCATCGGGGTGGTCTGGGATTGAATCAGAGTTTTATTCATAGCAGACGAGCACAGCAGAGCTCGACCTCACGAGGACACAGAATGACCATCACTTGAGTCTTGTTATGGAGCCGCCATTGGGATTCAAGTATGAGAGAGATCGGTGGGTCATATGAATGATGTGAAAACGAAGGGATGAGTAATGTGGAAAGACGGGTTTCGAAAAAAAAAAACACATTTTCTTCACCCTCATGTTGTTCCAAACCTTTGACTTTCTTTCTTCTTTCGGTTTTGGTCCATCTCTTGTTGGCTTCAGATTTGTATATTGTGTGTTCAACACAAATGAATGTCTCTCATTCGTTCTGTCTTTAACAGACTGGGAAGAGGAACAAGTGAGCAGTCCGAACATCCTGCGCCTCATCTACCAGGGCCGATTCCTACATGGCAATGTGACGCTAGGAGGTGAGCTGCCCTCCCACACTCCTCATTACCATTATCACATCACACATGCTCTGTTACTGTTGATTATTCATTAAAGGAGTATGCTGATAATTTACTCACCCCCATGTCATCCAAGATGTCCATGTCTTTCTTTCTTCAGTCGAAAAAAAATGAAGGTTTTTGATGAAAACATTCCAGGATTTTCTCCATATAATGGACTTCAATGGGGTCCAAACGGTTCAAGGTCCAAAAGACAGTTTCAGTGCAAACTGCAAACTGTTCAAAGGGCTTTAAACGATTCCAGACGATGAATAAGGGTCTTATCAAGCGAAACGATCTCTCATTTAAAAAAAATTAAGTTTTATAAGCACAAATGCTCGCCTTGCTCTGTTCTGTGGTGCACGTTTGTGACTCTCCTGTTCGAACTCGTTCATCAAAATGAACGAATCTTTTTCCGAGTCATTTGGTGCATTCAACGAATGAAACGAACAAATTGACTTTGAAAAAGATTCATTCATTTTTCCATCACAGATCAGCTGATTGTAAGGATGTACCCAAAAAATTCAGCTCCCAGTACACATAAAAGTTACTGTTCTAAGTAAATGTTATGAAAAAAACTCGCTTCATGAAATTAATTTAGTCTTACAATTCATCAGCAAGTTTTTCATTTAGCTTTGAGGGAAATGAGCAGACTATGAAAGTAGGAAAGCACTGTCCTGTCCGACAGACGTGTCATTAGGGAAAGAAAACAGGGAGGAGAGGAAATTCTTTGGGCATGAACGGGAATCTTTTTTTTATTTGTTTGGCCATCCCTCAGCAACAATGAAACATTGAGTGGATTTGCGAATGTGTTTATGAAAATGGGGTGGTGATGGCGCAGTGGATAAGACACATGCCACCAATGTGTCCCTGAGCAAGACACTTAACCCCTAGTTGCTCCAGAGGCGTGCGACCGCTTTGGATAAAAGCGTCAGATAAATGTAAATGTGTGTATATATATATATATAGACCATTTCACAAGATGTAAACAACACTGGTCCAGAAGCACTTCCTGTTTCAGTTTTTTAACACTACATAAAAGCTGGGAAAAAATACAACCAACAGAACATATAAAACTGAATCAAAAAGTTAAACAAACATCTTTAAGATGTTTTCTTTACATGTGAAATAAAAAAAACGGTTACAAACTGAAACAGGAAGTGTTTCTGGACCAGTGTTGTTTACATCTTGTGAAATGGTCTATATATATATATACTTACGACTATTGAAGTATGTTTTCCTCTCAATACACTAATAAATCAGGTCTCTTTTGTCTTTTATAAATATTTGTACCATGTGAATAGTTTAACTTTACTATGTACTCATGTAAAATGGGTTTTGCGATGTTTTGCCTGGGCAAACCTTTCCCATAGTTGAGTAACTATTGTATGATTGAGTAAAAACTACTGTTATGCTGATGATGTGATGGTGGTCCGCTGGCAGGGTTTGCCAAAGAAGTGTCACTTTGATAATACATGCTGACACCCTCTTGATTCAAGAGAACCAAGGCATGAAGACAGAGTGTGTGTGGGGGGCCGAAGCCGCCAGCGGTCTCAAACTCAGTGACGGCTCGAATAAGGCACAGGCTAAAATGCTTGTCCCTCTGTCGTATGACTTTATCCCCTTGAAAAGTTACTCAGATGCACAGCTGCAGTAGTCTTTTGTTTGTCCATTTAGTCTAACGCTTTTTTTTCTCTTGTGTCTTGCAGCTTTAAAACTGCCTCTCGGAAAAACCACAGTGATGCATTTAGTTGCCAGAGAGACGCTGCCCGAGCCAAATTCCCAAGGTAACCATTCTGCCCTTTCTCTTTTCTGTCCAGTCCTCCTTCACTTTTTCACACGCTCCCTGCCTAACTGCGGCCTTCACTTTCTTCAAAAATCATCTTTCTCAACCTCTGGCAATGTCTTTCAGAGGTTTTAAAGTATTGCATCACCAAAATACTATTTGCTGAGCGTATTCTGACATATTCGAGTTTTAAGCCTTTTAAATGCTTCTTTGAAGGCACAATTTTATGAAAAATGTGATGCACTATTTATTGATGTATGAAAAGTTTCAACAAACTTTTTAAATTAATTTTTATTTATTTAAGAGTTAAGCCTTAACGTCATGCGCGTTCACGCTCACCTGGCGATGTCCGGCAGGTTTGTGTATTCGCCGCCATTCTCCGTGACGCACTATTTATTGATGTATGGTTTCAACATAGGAATAAATATGACAATGTATGTACAGTATATTATATATTTGTGGTTATTAATTTAATTTTGAGGGGACACTTTAAATGAAAGATTGTCAACACTTTACAATAAGTGTTCGTTTTTTAACATTAGTTATACATTAGTTGTCATGAGCTATACTTCTGCGGCATTTATTAATCTTAGCTAATGTTAGTCTCAAAATTTACTAATACATGTTTATTATCAAATCAAAATGTTAACATGAACAAAAACATTTTTATTAACTTAAATTAACACGTTTAATAAATGCTGTGAAAATATATTGTTCGTTGTTTGTTAATGTTATCTAATGCATTAATCAATGTTAACAAATTAGACCTAATTGTAAAGTGCTTATAATAATTTTCAGGTGAATTCATTGTTGATAATGACGAACATTAATTAAATATAGAAGGGTTATTTTTTTAACTAATTTTTATTTATTTAAGAGTCAAGCCTTAACGTCATGTGCGTTCACGCTCACCTGTCGATGTCCGGCAGGTTTGTGTATTCGCCGCCATTCTCCGTATCAGCGAAGACAACTCGAGCGACTAAACTTTATTCAACTTTCCACAAAAGTAGAAGATGGGATTCAAAGAGATCATTCCAAAGCCGACGCAACTCCACGTAAGACAAAGAAAATAAAACTTTCGGAATAAGACGAGAGTCGACGTCGGGAAGCTTTCGACAAATTTAGAGATCTCCGGTCGGCTCAAACGGGATCAAAGTAATAACTTATATTGTTCATGAACGTGTTTCCATGATAATACAATCATAAGTGGATACAGTGAGCACATAAAACAGTTCAACGTGGAAAAACCGAAGTTTTCTACTACCCCCGTTTTCCCCTCACACACACACACACACACACACACACATAAGTGTGTAATTTACTCAAACAACCTTTCCTTTCATATATTTAAAGTGACTTGCAGATTTATAACTTTATATAAGTGACTATACGGCTGATGCTCCTTTGGTTATGAACAGCTCGTGCAAGCGTGCGTGTGTGTGTTCATGAGCGTGGACACCTCTGGTTGCAGTTTCGCTTGTCGCCACAGGGGGCGTAGTTCTGCAAAAACTCAGAGACTTGCGCAATGCACCTTTAAAATTCTGTTCATGTTTGGATTGGAACAGAACCATTGTTTGTTTTCGTGCAGTATTATTAAATGCATGCGTTTTCATTTCAGGTCAAAGGAACCGGGAAAAGACCGGAGAGAGCAACTGTTGTGTGATCCTGTAAATACATCCCTCCATCCCTCAGAATGAGTGTGTCCTCCTGTCACCCTTCGCCCATGCTGCTTAAACACAACTACTCACACCTGACACCTGACACGATACGAGAGCTTCACTTCACCTGGAAAGGAAAAAAAAAACAAACTAACAACACACCCGAGAGAGGACGAGACCAGGCTCGGGGAATGCACAGTCCTTATTGAAGCCAAAAGATGTCAAGAGCAGCAGATAATAAAACACATCCCTCCCCGCCACGTTTCTGGTCTTTCTACCTTCATGTACACCCAGCAGACCCGTAACTCGTTTCATCATGCTCACTTTCACACACAGACGCTCACTCCTTCCCTTTCGACCGGTTTGCACACGGAAGATGCCCTTGTTTCCCTTGTTTTTTATCGCACATGGTAAACATGAATGATTCAGTGAGGAAAAAGAGACCTTGATTCTTCCTTTCAGGAGGGAGACGTGTGAGCGACGGGGAAATGAATTTACTTTCCTCGTTAAACGATGCACCACGTGCACACCAAGCTTGGCCCGGATCCGGTGCGGAGGCCGAAGGCATCTGAAATAATAGCACACGCCCTCCCGATACAATACTAATCGCCACATGTAGTCTATTGATTTTGACTAAGTATTGATGTGCCTGATGAACGTTTTCGAAATGTTTATTGTAATGTTTCCATGTGTTTGTGGTCACGGAGATCCAGCGTCCTGCTTTTAACACGTTCCGGCGCTCGATTAGCCTCTCCAGGTGTGTTTTGAGTCAGGAATTTGCAGGAAGGAAGATCTCCAAATGTTGGTTTGAGTCTAAATAATCCACAGTGACATTTGCGGCTGTTTTGACAGTCAAACAGTGTTGCGTCGGCCCTCTTTAGATAGATCTGAGCTGCTCTCTTTCAGGAAGGGTAAGATTTATCCCTTTATTTTCTAAGTGTGGTGGTGTAAATTAATGCTTGCGTTTGGAGCCCGAAGATAACTATGGAATGAAGTTTGGCTTGGTTTCTATTCCCCCAATCCCTGTTAGATATAAAATTTGTTTGCACAATACAGAAACATGAGCTGTTTCATTTTTAATCTGTGTAATTTTTTTCTTTCTCCTCCTCCTTTTTAATATCTTTTCCAAATGGGAATTGTATTCGAAGGTTACATATGTGTAGAGTATATTTAATATGAATCTTATAGAGAACATAACTATAGATTGTTGATATATATTGGTGTTTAGTGTATGATAGTCTAAAAACAGTTAGCACATTAGCATTTGGAGCAGTGAGATGCTGACATGTACTTTAACAGCAGCAAACCCCTCTCTAATGGCTGAAGAAATTATTGTACTGTTTTCTTTCTTTTTTTTTCTTCAAATGTTCATGATTTGATATCTTTTTTCTTCCTTTGTCTTTTTCTGTTCATGTGGTCTCTGCTTTTTGTGTTTTAACACCGCACTAGGTCTGAAAAATATTGGTCCTTATCAGGGTTCAAATCTGTACAGAGCTGAAGTTTTTAAAAATATAATTGTAAATAAAACTAATGCTTCTCATTCTCTAAACTACAAATGGAAATACATCTATAAACTGAATAAAGAATCCAGAATATGCTTATTGCTTGATTTGTTCACCTTGCTTATAATGAATTTGAGAGGCATATAAATTCTTATAAGGAGTCGAAATCCTGTTTAGATTTAAGCACTTTATTTATAAATAAAAACGTACTGTCATATTGCCATCTTTTTGTTAACATCTGGACCACACATACGTTAACTTCGCTATCTAAATGGGGACATTTCATAGACGTAATGGTTTTTATACTGTACAAACGGTATATTCTCTATTCCCTTACACTAGCTCTACCCATCACACAAAACTTTCTGCATTTTTACATTTTCAAAAACCTTTAATTACTTTATTTTTATACCAGATATAAAAACGAGGATGTCCCTAATCCTAATGGGAGGTATTTGGTCACTTCTGGGTACAAATTGGTCCCCAAAATATAGTTATGTATGTACACACTCACACATGCTCACACAATCTTTGCGAGGACATTCATTGACAGTGCTTACCCTAACCCAATTCATCACAACTAAGTGCTTAACCCGAACCGTTGCCCTAAACCTAAACCTAGTTATAACCTTTTCCCAAATTCATGGTGTTATTTCACCATTACTGTTTTTGATCAAACAAATGTATCGTTGGCGATACATTGCGATACAAACAAAAAGGGACTATATAAAAATATAGTCCTGAATGTTAGCTTCTATCGGAAATAAAGAGACAGAGAGACATTCTCTCAGATATATCTGTATATTCTCTCAGATATACAGCAAACAGCACCGCTAGGCCTTGAATGGAGAATATCGTTGTTACTGTGAGCTTTTGGCTCCATCTTGTGGGTAAAATGATAATTACTCTTACGCCTACCGTTCACAATCACAGAAAAAAAAGGATTATACTTTTAATCTATATCTATTTATAAGTATTTATTAATGTTAATATTTCTCATTGTAATTGTGTTTCTGTCCAGAAATATCCAAAATTAGATAAAAAAATTACAAATAAAAACATGAATGCGACTAAATGAAGGTTCTGATTGATTCAGCCGCCATGCGCCCCCTAGTGGAAACACATTTTCGATCTAACACAAAACACTTACCCATCACACAAAACTTTCTGCTTTTGTACATTTTCAAAAACCTTTAATTACTTTATTTTTATACCAGATATAAAAATGAGGATGTCCCTAATCCTAATGGGAGGTATTTGGTCACTTCTGGGTACAAATTGGTCCCCAAAATATAGTTATGTAGGTATACACACACACATGCTCACACAATATTTGTGAGGACATTCATTGACAATGCTTACCCTAACCCAATTCATCACAACTAAGTGCTTATAAGCAACCGTTGCCCCTAGTTATAACCTTTTCCCAAATTCATGGTGTTATTTTAGTATTACTGTTTTTGATCAAACAAATGTATCACTGGCGAGCATAAGATATTTCTTTCAAAAACATTAAAAAATGTGTACTCTAAAAGGGACTATATAAAAATAAAGTCCTCAATGTTATCTTCTCTTAGATATATAGAGGCATAAAAGAGACATTCTCTCAGATATACAGCAAACAGCACCGCTAGGCCTTGAATGGAGAATATCGTTCTTACTGTGAGCTTTTGGCGCCATCTTGTGGGTAAAATGATAATTACTCCTAGGCCTACCGTTCACAATCACAGAAAAAAGATTAACTTTTAATCTATATCTATTTATTAATGTTAATATTGCTCATTGTAATAGTGTTTCTGTCCAGAAATATCCTAAATTAGACAAAAAATAAAAAATAAAAACATGAATGCGACTAAATGAAGGTTCTGATTGATTCAGCCGCAATGCGCCCCCTAGTGGAAACACATTTCCGATCTAACACAAAACACTTTGAAGGACTTTATTAGTGTAAAATATACACCAAGACACGCTATTTATAGTATTCCAAAACATGGATTTGATCACGAGAAGCTAGCAACATAGTTAAACGGCCTCTTAAATAATAACGACAGTCTTTGGCTATTAATTATCAAGTTACCAAACCACATGTCGGCTACCATGGGAGTCTAACGAGCACTCAATCCAAGGCCTTCCACAGAAATAAACTGACGGTAATCAACTTTCGACGGTAAGAGTCAACTTTCTTCTCTCTGTTCAGCAAGCACTGTCATTTACATCAATTAATATTACTTTATTGAAATGAGATTGGCCGTTCTTTGAAATACAGTTTGTTTAGATTTGTTTTATTTGAATTTATTTTAACGTAACTTTAATTAGTTTGAAAGACCAATGTCATGAAAACCTCCTCTCCTCCTTTCAGTGAGACTTATCAGATAATCCAAAGATTCGATTATTAATACCAATGTTAACAAAATAACAATTACGTAGGAAAGAGCTGTCACTTTAAACTGCTTTCCTGAAAAGGAATCGATGATGGTCACTTATTTATTTATTAATATATATAATACATTATGTAGGCTATACGTTCCATGATTTTTAAAAGCACAAATATTCCATGTAGTATTTTAATTAAAGAGGCCAAAAAAACTGAACATACAATAATAATAAAATATAGTTTTACTTGGGCATGCAACTTTCCAGATTTACTTGACAGATTCGAGACTGTCTCTTTATTCAGTCTCGAATCTTCTGAGCAGTTTTTTTGTTAAATCATCATTGAGGGCTGGTTAAAGAGAGACGAACTTGTCTATTGAGTTGTGAGTGATAAATGGCCTTCAACATTTATTATAATACATTTGATTATTGATATGTAATGGAACGTGACTAAAATATTAACAGATATTATAACTATAGAACAATAACATGTGTGCATCATATGCATGCATCAAAGCATAATAGGCAGATGATCTCATTTAGAAATAGTTAACTTATGGACTTTTAGAATCATCCTGTTTTTCTGGACACACCATTTGAGAAAGAACTGTCTGACTTCTTTAATCCTGATGCAGTAGATGAAGGGGTTCATAAGTGGTGGAAGCAGACTGTAGAACATGACCAGGGCGATCTTCTGACTGCTGGTCAATACTGAGACTACGTTCGGGATGTTAGAAGTGGAGTAAACAATGAAACGTGGCACATAATAGATAACAATGATAGTCAGCTGTGTGGCACAGGTAGAAAAGGCTTTCCTACGACCCTGTGCATTTGCTATTCGAAGCACAGACACCAGGATACACACATATGAAAAGATGATGAAAGAGAATGGGACGAGAAGCACAAACATTGCTACACCATAGGAAATGAGGTTTGGTTGTCTGACATCAGCACAGGCGAGCTTGTTCATAGACCCAGAGTCACAGAAGCAATGAACGATCATATTTGGCCCACAGAATGGCAGTTCTATTGTTTGCATTGTGCTGATGGTTGGGGCAATCATTGCAGTAACCCAGGAAAGCCCTATTAAAAGTCTCATAGTGCGGTTAGTCATTAAAACAGGGTATCTTAGTGGGTAACAGATCGCCAAGTACCGATCTAGAGCCATGATCATCATAATAAGAGAGTTTAGGGTCCCAAAATAGTGAATCAGCTGCCTTTGAAACAGACAAACGTAGAAGGGAATATAACCGTCATTAAACCAGTAGCGAGAAATGACTTTTGGCAGAGCAACTGTGGAAAAACCAATATCAGACAAGGACAAACTCAGCAAGATAATATACATCGGCTTAAAGAGGCTGCGTTCAGTCACAAACAGGACCACAATGAGAGAGTTTCCAGTGAGTACAGCGATGTAGATGCAGAGCAAAAATGCTGCCATCAGGCTGTAGTATTTGGGTGGAAGTCCAGGGAAGCCCACGATGAAAAACTCGGTTACGACAGAAGCTGCGGTTTCGTTTGCCTGTGACATACTAAAACATACAGTTAACATCTGTTTACAAAAGAACCAAATGCATCTGCCGTTTACACATGAAAATACCTTGTAAAAATTGCTTTGATTTGCTCAATGTGTTATTAGAACTTAGGATAATATAGAACATTATTTAGTTATTAATTTAGATGAAGGAATTTTCTTTAAATTATTTACACATTCTATGATTTCAAATATTTGCGAATATTCTAAATGTAATTTTGGTTTGTATTTCAGCTCACATGATTACCTTGATTATTCCTCCGTTAAGTCACGTATGTGACATCTGTGTCTCAGTGTGTCAGTTTCTTGCAGATGCTTGTGGTTTCATTGTTTTATAGGCGTAGAATCTGTGTTAAAGCCTATAGGGTCCAGCACGTCATGAAGGATCATGTTTTGAGTCATTTGATGTCGTGAAACTGGGCTGACCTTTGGGGTTAAGGGAGTGGGGAATGTGTTTTTCTAGAAGATAACTTTGTAATGAAGTTTGACTTGGTTCCTCTTCCCTGATAGATATAACATTAATTTACACAACACAGAAACATCAGCGGTTTCATTTCAAATTGGGTGCAACATAAATATTGACAACTTGTCAACTCGTCAAATTGGACAGCAAACAGCCCCCTTACATCATGAATGTGAGCTTTTTGTGCCACCTCGTGGGTAAATGATAACTACACACGTAAAACTAATCAAATTACATAAACATTCCATTTTTGTTTTATTTATTTTAATTTAATATTATGAAAATGATGTACTACATTTTAAAACAAATATCTTAAATAAGACAAAAATTTAAATATATTTCAGTTGATGAATCCGACATTGTCTCACATGAAACACCTTTTAACCTGAGGACCAAAAACGCGTCCCGCGTTTTGATCGTTTTTTTTTTCACACAGCTGCAACCTAGACTTAAAATTCTCCATCATTAATGGTCATATAAATAAAATCAGTACATGATTATAAAGATACCGATTTTATTAATATTAATGGTGGTCACTTTTATTTATATGACCATTAATGGTGGTCGCTCACTCAGTCTCAAAAATCTTTCTGAAAAGTGCCTGGAAACTGAACTGAAACTCCGCGAATATCACACAAACATGAAACGTACGTCTAAATAATGCGTTAAAGATCTACTTTTAAATAAAACAATTCACATTTAAAACAAATATTCTCCTGCTAAGT